TGATGCTTGCCAGCTCCTTGAGTACCCTGGGGTGTAGATTGTCAGGGCCAGATGACTTGAAAGTATCCAGCCTCTCAAAGTGTTCCTTCATGAGGTCAGCATTGATGGAGGGCAGGGGATCTCCCTCACCCAGACCTCCCTGGCCCATAGTGGAAGTCAGGCAAAAGGTAGGGCAGGATGGCACCTTAAACACTAACTGATCCATTCACAGTATCTGACAAAAATAGGTTCTTGCCTTTGAAAGGTCATGCTTCTCTGAACCAGTTAGAATGCAAGGTGCCACTCTGCCCTACCTTTTGCTGTGCTTCTGACATTGAAAAAGTACATGCATAGTGCCAGATGGAGTTTAAGGATTTTCAAGACTATAATGAGCTGAGCAAAACAGACAAGAAATAACAATTTTTATCCGCTTATAACTCAGGCAAATCTGACTGAATGTTCATAGGGCTAGTAAAAGACACCTATTGAACCCCATGGCTACCTTCCCACAATATTCAAAAATCCTGATGCAAAGCAGAGAGGGGTCTGAGCTCTTTTAAAAGAGAGCTGGAATTTATTTATTTATTTATTTATTTATTTAAAGTAAAAGTGTTATGAAACCTTTTTATAGAGATCCCTGCCTCTCCACTAATCCCAACCATTGCTAACTGTCATGCTGTCTGAAGGGCTGGGTGACTCCCTTTTTTGCCTCTACTGAAAGGAAAGCTCCCCTTGTGGAGGTTCTCAGGTTGCAACTTACCATAGACCCCTTTCCCTAGGAGCTGCAGGAACTGATTCACTGCTATCATCATTTCCACCTTGTTCAGGTCCAGAAGGGAAACCACCCGGAAGCCCAGTTTCTTTAGAAGAAGGCTCAGTTCAAACACGTCTGTGATGGGAGCCATCAGGTTAGGATGATTCTGGTAATGGTTGTTGCCCACCAAAAGTGCCACCTTGTCAGTTGCTGCAGAAATATCAGATGACAAGCAAAGCCATCAGTCCACATGCAAAGTGTAAGGACCTCAGTCAAGTAACACCAGAACTCCTGAGATCATTTTGATTACTCAAGACGATACTGCATATAAACTGCAAAACTACTGGTGCATATGGTACCTCAGGCCTGGAGTGCCTGCCTTCTCCTTTATATGCCATTAGGGTGAATCTGAATATGTGCGTGTATACACACACACACGCACATATAATCTGAATATAGTATATATACGAATCCGAGGTGTGTATATGCATATATGTATATTCATACATGGGTTCCTGGATTTCTATATATGCCATACATATCCAGGGTGTGTTTCTATGTGTGTATGTATATATACATACATATATAAATATAATCTGAATATATCATGTTCAGATTATGTACGTGTGTAATCCGAATAATGTAAATATACACACACACATACATACTCATAGGTGCCTTATACATGTAACTGTGATATAAGTTGCAATTTTACTCGTATAAGATTTAGGCATCATTATAGTATGGTGTGTGATCAATATGATCAATATATTATACCATATATTTGGAAACACAATTGTGCAAGTAACTTATTGTTAGGAAGCCTGTTGATGCCAAAGGCTCCAGTGGGGATAATGTGGTTAAGGAATGCCAACTCAGTATGCAAAGGAGCAATGCAGCATGCAAAGAAGGGATGCAGCCAGCATCACTGATGGCTGCCTTTGACTCCCCAGCCCAGATGACCAAGTATCTATTTACAGATGATCAAGTGGGGACATCCTTTGGCATGAGTTTGGAAGAAGGATCAATTTCAACACCTCTGGAGCCACCTCAACCACTCTGCCCCTGCATCTCTGTTGAGTCTGTGCCAAAATCAATCCCCCCACCGCCAAGATATTTTACTTCATGTTTTTCCATGTCTTTCTACTTGTTCTAAATTAAATAAGAGTATGAAAATAAGCGTCATTTTGAAACAAAAAGAGTCAAAGGATTTCATTTGGCAAATGTTAAAATGAAATGCTTGGATTTTTCTTCCCTCCACCCCAAATTGTTTTTCAGAGGAAACTATTTGCTGATTTCAACCTGAATTCACACACAGTTTCAGGAGACCCCAAACCTGCATTTTCTTCTGCAAATATAATCTTGGCCTGAAACATTTCCCTCAGTTCTATGTAAAAACACTGCAATGCTGCAGACAATGACATGTGACATCCTGCCATTGGCAAGTACTAGCACTGTAATGCCACCTGTGCTGTCCCTGTAGCAGTCATATCATAACTGCCTTCAGTCCTGGTGGAAATATTAGGGAAAATCTGATTTTCATTTCGTGGAAGTGATGGTTCTCTTCAATGGGCATGTTTGCAAATGCCAGACACTGAGGGACCCCTCAACACAAGATAGCAGGGGCTAGATGGCTGTCATCAGCTTTCAGGCTAAGCGCCACTTTTTTCTTTGCTTCCCACTTTTGCATGCATGTTTCCTCAATGGGCTGAAGCAAGGATCTAGAAAAGTCAGAGGGAGCCCCACAAAGGGGAGGGAATTTGGGCCACATAACAGACTCTAGCTATTTCAGTATGGTGGGAGTACAGGTTAGGGTCCAGGCTGGTCATGATCAAGGGACTCCTAGCATGCTCTGTGTGCAAAGCTGAATAGAAGCCATGTGCCAAGGGGCTACTGGAGCAAAGGAAAGGGGCTGCTGCCTATAGAAGTGCATCCAGCAAAACACCTCACAGATTCACTGCACTTCCAACACCAATTTGTTTTCAGGGGAAGAGAGAGGAACAGCACTCACCAAAGAATGTATCTGGCCAACACGTACCTGCAACGAGACAAGGAAAAAAAAAAAATCAACCCCAAGCCTTCACCTTGGATCCCACAGCCTTACTCCAGTCACTTGTCTGGCACCAACAGTTCTGGCACCAAGACAAGACTGGATCCAACACCCCTGGGCTCAGCTCTAACACTGAACAACTGAGTAGATAAGAAGTTCAAGCTCAGGATGGAAGTTCTGAGCTTTCTTCTTGTATGCCCAGTGGTTGGCTCCATGCCCACAGGTCAGCACAGCGCTGTGGTTACCATTGTAGTTACCATGCACATTTTAAAGCACATGACTCTCAATAGCATTCAATTACTCCACCACAGAGGCAGGTAAAGACAAGTCAGAAATGATGTATACTTCTACACAGGCTACGCATTTTGTGGGTCTGAGTGTGCTGTTTGCCCTCTATGCCCCACCAAGATGGTAGCCAGAGCTTTATCCACCAATACCAGCATAGCTCCACACTTATGGGGAGAAAAGAAAATTACCAACCTGTGCTTCAGGTGCAAAGCCCAGAGGGAGCTGTGTCCCTGCATTTGAAAAACATCAGCTTGTTTCTCTGGTGATGTATTTCATCAGCTAACACTACATACCTTTAAAAATAGTGTATGAACACAAAAGGATGGCACAGCTCACTCCTCTGATGTGAGTGCCCCAGAAAGGTCTCTAATACAGCATCACCCATGCTCATGATTTTCCTGATATTTGGATTTTTTTTGCAGAAAGTCCAAGTTCCTAGAGTTGTGAGATTAGTTGGGAAACTTGATTTTCATTCCAACAAAAAATAAATTCCTAGCCTGCAAGAATAAGTGTGGAAGACTAAAAAGGGAACTCTTAAGGGTGTGAAAAAGATAAAGTAAATAGCAACACTTCAAAAGTATTGCCTTTAAAATGATGTAATAAACCCCATGATTTTTAAGTCATTCTTTTGATTTCAGAAGGCCTGACTCATAACTGTGAATGTAATGGAGTAGACATATTCTAATACTCAGTGGAATTCCATCTGAACTAGTCTATTTGATGAGTCCTTTTTCCGTCAGCCTATATCTTGTGGCATTTGCTGTTAGCTGCTTTAGGGATGCCTACATAGCCTCAGTGGGTGTCTGTAGATGTGCAGGGATGCTGCTCCAACATGCTATAATTACAGCACATCAGAGCAGACTTGATTAATCGAGTCTGCCAGTGCATGCTAATTAGCATGCTCCAGCACCCTCTGAGTCTCATGTATCGGCATCTCCACACTTCAAAATGGTGGTGAGGGTGCTTTAGCTAAAGCTTGTCTGATGAGCTTTAGTTAAAGTACTCCCGCCACCATTTACAAGCATTGGAGTGCTGATACATGAGATGCTGCGAATGCTTTAATTAGAGTGCCCCCACCCACTCTTACCCCTGGAGCATGTGTAAAGATGCCCAATGTTTTCTAGTATTTAATTCAAGCCCAAACCCTATTTCAATCACACCCTTTGTCTTTTGACTACTTCACCAGCTACTGGGAGAAGGAGGAGGTACAGGGCTAGGCTCTTTGGGTACCTATGCATGTGCAGAGAGGCTGCTCCGATGCGTTGGAGCAGACTCGATTAATTGAGTCTGCTGGAGCATGGTAATTACTGCACTCCAGCAGACTCCAGTGTCATAAGTATCAGCGTCCCCAGACTGAACCAGCTTTATTTAAAGTACCCACCTTCCCCCCTGTCAATTTGTCAACGAGCTTTAGTTAAAGTGCCCCACCACTTTTCAGCACAGGGACGCTGATACACGTGATATTTCAGGCGCTTTAATTAAAGCGGTTCTCAGAGCCACTCTACTTAAGCCTTTCCCACCCCCTCTCAGAACACACCTATAAACACCCTTTAGCTCTACCTGGGAAATTTGTACCTCATAGGGACTGGAAATCCAGTTTAACAAGGTGCCTGGGGACTCTCCTGGCATCTGCTATTTAAGTATGATAATTTTCTAAGGCAGATTTCAGGGAAGAGTGGCACCTTCTAGACCATCTAATTTCATAGATTTCATAGACATTAGGGCTGAAAGGGACCTCAGAAGATCATCAAGTCCAGCCCCCTGCCCCAGGAAGTCAGCTGGGGTCATAGGATCCCAGCAAGAAAAACATCCAGGTTTCTCTTGAAGGCATTCGAAGTAGGTGCTTGAACCGCCTCCCGCAGCAGGCCATTCCAGACCTTGGGGGCTTGGACAGTAAAAAAGTTCTTCCTTATGTTCAGCCTGAAACGGTCTTGCAGGAGTTTATAACCGTTCGACCTTGTCATCCCTTGGGGCGCTCTGGTGAACAAACATTCCCCCAGGTCTTGGTGAACACCCCTTATAAACTTTTAGGTGGCAACCAGACTGCCCCTGAGCCTGCACTTCTCCAGGCTGAAAACTCCCATAGCTCTCAGCCTCTCGTCATAAGGTCTGTTTTCCTGACCTCTGATCATGTGCGTGGCTGGACTCTCTCAAGCTTCTCCACATCCTTTTTGAATTGTGGAGCCCAAAACTGGATGCAGTACTCCAGCTGTGGCCTCACCAAGGCCAAGTACAACAGGATAATGATGCCCTGGGATTTGCCTGAGAAGCATCTAGGGATGCAAGCCAGTGTTTTGCTCACTTTACTAGCTGCACCATCACATTGCAGGCTCATGTTCATCTTGTGGTCAATCCTGACCCCCAAGTCTCTCTCGTCCGTAGTGCTAGTCAGCATAGCACTGCCGAGCCTACAGACATGCTGCAGGTTTTCCCTTCCAAGGTGGAGAACCTTGCATTTTTTGGTGTTAAACACCATCAGGTTCTCGTCCGCCCATTTACTGAGCCTGTCAAGGGCAGCCTGGATTACCACCCTGTCCTCAGGTGTGGATGCTTTACCCCAAAGTTTGGTATCATTGGCAAACTTGGCCAGTCCGCTTCTGACTCCAATGTCCACATCATTAATAAAGATGTTGAGCAACATAGGTCCAAGGACAGAGCCTTGTGGGACCCCACTGGTCACAGAGCACCATGACAATTAACTTCCGTCAACCACCACCCTCTGGGTCTGACCACAGAGCCAATTCCCCAGCCAGCAGATCATGGTGGACCCGAGGCCAGAGTTGGCCAGTTTTGCCAAAAGGTGATCGTGGGATACCAGATGGAAGGCTTTTTTAAAGCAAGATATATGACATCAATCTCTTCCCCCCTGTCCAGGTGATAGGTCACCTGGTTATAAAAGGAAATGAGATTGGTCAAGCATGACCTACCCACAACAAACCCATGCTGGCTATCCCTCAGGGTGTTGCCATCGACCAGTCTGTTAAGAATGGCCTCTTCGATAATTTTTTCTAAGACCTTCCCCGGGATGGAAGTCAGGCTGATGGGCCTGTAGTTTGCCGGATCCACTTTCCTCCCTTTCTTGAAGATAGGCACCACGTTGGCCTTCTTCCAATCTTCAGGCACTTTGCCAGAGTGCCAGGAGCTCTTGAAGATCCATGCCAGGGCTGAACTATGATGCAGGCCAGCTCCTTGAGCACTCCGAGGTGTAAATTGTCAGGGTCAGCTGACTTGAACTGAATTCACAGAGGCATAAGATTTTGTAAATAACAGCTTACTTTTTTGCAGGGAGAGCCCAATCTTTATCCTCCAGAACTATTCTGAACAAGAAATATTAAGTTTGCATCTCAATTGACCACAATTGCTAGTGAGAATTATGAGGCACATCCTAATGCAACAGGTTTCCTATGATGCAGCTAAAGTTTCCTTATAAACAACTCTTTTTTTAAATCTGAAACAGGCAGAAGACAGATGGTTAAGCTCTCAGCATTCCACTGTTTTCTTGTTCTGGGCTCTAAGGGAAGTACAGATCTGCTGAAGCGTTAAGGCCCAACTTGGTTCCAGTAAATCCAAAAAAAATCCTTGCTCCTGGATTACAAAGGAATTTCACTCAACTCCTGTATAGAACTCTGCACTTTGCAGGCTCCTCTAAAATACAGGCTCCCCTTTTCAGTCTTTTTACAGGGCTAAATGGCATCTCTTTGAGGAGCTGCCCAGACATGTGGGAAGACTGTCATTTTTTCCCTTATAATTATAGACCCACTTCCCTGGCTAAATTTGAAACTTCTCTTATCTTGGAATTCCAGGAATGCTATTATCACAGATCTGGGTGGCTTGTCAGCAGGAGCCAGTAGATATCTACATCCTCAGCTGGCAGGAGCTGGCGCAGTTCCACTGGGGTTGCTAATTCAGATCTAGTATTTCCTGGGTGTGAGAAACTGTTCTGCAGATTGTCTCCCTGACAGCCAGGATAGGACTGCCAGCACACTTCCTACTTCTCTCCAAATCTGTGCAATGTCTCTCTGCATTTGTTCTTGCTGGAGCTACCAAGAAAGGTTTTTCAGTTCAACAATTGCCCCTTAAAATGCCCTTGTGAATGCAGTCTCTGCCTTCTCCTTGCACTGTCCCTGGGGATTGGTATGTTGTCCCCCTGCCCAAAATACACTTCACCTCCTATTTTTCAGAGTGGCCATTCAAAATCTAGTGCCTGTTTTCTGGATGCTCTTGAAGAGTTTCATATGCCTATAAACAGTCTTACACTGAGCTCCCAAAACTCAAGGGATCCAGAATTAGAGGTCTCTTGCACTGGCATTGGCTGCTGAGGCTTGTCCCTGGCCAGGGGAGGAATCAGTGCCCAAGTCTAGCATCTTGGATCACCAAACCCAGGGCACTCAGTCCACTGCTTACCCCACAAGGCTGACCCAGAAGTCATGCCTATGGCACTGTGTTTGTTGACCCCATCCCTGTGGTGTGCAGCCCCTCCAGATCAGAGCATCCAATCCATCTCTCCTCCCATTACATTTCAACCTAAACACTACTTTGTAATGAAGCAGGATGTTATGTAGCTCTGCTCACCTATATGAACGTCCACCGCATTGGTCCAGTGTTCTCCGTGGCTATTGGCTGCGCAGCAAAGGTATGTGCCAGAGTCACTGACCTTTGCAGAGTTGATCTAGATGGAATGAAATTAACATCAGATTATTGAGATCTGGTTTTGTGGCCCCATGTTCCAGCTTCTGAGGCCCCCAAACTGCTGAAGCCCAAAAGGTTCTGCCTCTCATATTGCTCTCAGGGCCAGAGCAAGGCACTGAATGCAGATCTCCTGTCCCAGGCTACCACCTCCGCCACAAGTTTCCAGGTACAACAACAATAAGAAGCCAGTAAGCTCTGGCTTCACTAGTTTAATGTGAACATTCCCAATGCTTCTGTAGGAGGGCTGGGCTTAGTGTTATCACCTCAAAGCCTGGCAGAACCCTTAGTTAATTCACAGGATTCTTGAGTAACAAATGATCTGCATTGGCACCAGAAGAGAGAAAGGAAGTCCAAATGAAAATAAACTTTACTGGAATTCAGACTCCAAACCTTTCAGAACTAAAGTCAAATTTTATCCCTGAAGCTAAACAGAATGTGGTTAATGCGCATGGGAATACACAAATATGAAACGAGGGTTCCCCAAACAGAGATATCTGGAGGCAGATGTCAACACAAGCACTCTGTGAAAGGCTACAGACAAAGGGTCAGTTTGGGGTAATTCAAGAACACGTGTTCTCTGGTTTGCACTGAACCATGCAGCACAGAAACCGCCATGAAAACAAGGGTCAAGGCCACATCCTGCCATTTATCCTGCCAACACCGTGTCTACCTCAGAAGAAAAGGGATTTCACTCCTACTCTGCAAAAAGGCAGCTGGAATTGTAACGGGTGTTAGCTGGCTGGAGTGAACCCTAGCAGGGCGCACAGTGGGAACCCTTGCACTCATGTGGACCTACTGAGACATATCCATGCTACACTAGACATATCCTGTCCACACTAGGGTTTTTTGTGGGGTTTTTTTTTTTTTACTGATTTTTAAATGCAACACAAAAATCTGAAATACATGTGTCATCTACACATATCAACCTAAACTACTTACATGTTTATCATAAGCAAAGAAGGGGACGAGAGAGAAGAAAGAAAGAAAGAAGAAAAAAGGAAGGAGGGAGGGAAGAGGAAAGGATAAGAAAGACAAAAAGAGAAGTGTGCAAAGAGAAATAAGCTAGTCACCAAAGTATTCTAAGAAATTGTTCAAACTTGTGGAAGCAGTTATGCCTGCAAAACCTGACCCTCTTCATAGATGCCAGTTGCATCATGAGGGCAAGGGTGACTTGTACATTGGTACCATGTTTTGACTTTTGGAGATGTCCTACTTTTCCAGCACAGTAATATAATCCTGAATGTCACAAGTAAGGCCCACTGGAAGAGTGCAATCTGGGAAGGTTTCAATTAGAACTCCTCAGGTACATACCCAAGAATGTACGTACTTGCCAAAGGTATCCATGCTGTACTCAAAACCATATTAACTCTGCTTATCATTTCTTTCCAAAAAGTATTGATAATAGGGCCTGATTTCCACTGGGATGCACACAAGCTTTTTAGCACAGGTTAATCTGAACCTGTTAAAGGGCCCCTTTTCCCCTGGAGAAGATGAGGCCTAAAGTTATTTCTGCATGTTCAGTAGTGAAGAGTGATACAGATAATACACTGTATAAGGGACACTGAAAGAAACTAGGAAATGGTGCATTTCTACTGAAGAACCAAGCCCTGAGTGGGATTTCTAAAACACCACCCTGCAGACAGGAGTCAGCTGAGAACCCGGTGTGTAGAGGTACAATTTACGGCCCTGACATGGTGACCAGATTTATGCAGAATCATAAGGCACTTGCACACATGCAGGGAGCCTGCTCCGAGACGCTGGAAATCCAGTATGTTGGAGCAGACTCGATTAATTGAGTCTGCTGGAGCACATAAATTGACATGCTCTGGCAGCCTCGCAGATGTGCATCAGTGGCGCAGTGTGTATCCATGATGAGAAAATGGCAGTGGTGTGCTTTAAAATAAAACACGTTTGATGTGCATTAGTTCAAAGAGCCCTGCTGCCATTTTCACAGCACGGGGACACGCTGCACCATCAATACCTGTGACATGCAGCCACTTTTAAGTAGTGGGTCGCTCTAATTAAAAGTGCCTGGCACCGCATCAGGAATACATGTAAAAATGCCCATAGATTTCAAGGTTAGAAGGGACTGTGAAAACCCGTTAGATTGATCCCAGACATCACCCAACAATCCCCACTTCCTGCCCAGCATCCTGTGGCAGAGCGAGGACAGCATTTTCAGAAATGCCCAGTCCACATTTAAAGACTCCAGGTGATTTCCCCTTGAGCAATTAGAGCACTGAGCAGACTTAGCAGCTCACACTCACTCATCAGTTCCACCTCCTCCCTGGTCCTAGCTCTTCTCACTCAACACAGGGAGATGCTGGGCCACCTACTTAACTCACCTCAGAGGACAAGGACTAGGGTCTTCCTCTGGAGCAGTGATTCTCAACTGCAGAGCTGCCAGATACTTTGAAAGATGCCAGATCCTTTCAAAGATGCCATGAGTTGTGAGAAGATAAGCAGATAAGCACAGGTTCAGGCTTGTCCCCATCTGGTTGATCCCCTCCCCTCCCCACACACTGGGCTTCTGTAATATATCATTCATTTTTTAAACTAGTTACCTCTCAATTCACACAAGTTACAGAGGGGTGCCTTGAGCCCAAAAAAAGTTGAGAAACATTGCCCTGGGGCTCAGAGCCTGTCTGCCTCTTCTAGTCCCCAGCCTCGTATCCAAACTGTGAACCCAATTGCTTGCTCATAGCCTGAGGGATGTCCAGGAGCCAGCAACATTTTCCTGTCTGGGGCCTTAAAATAAAACTTCTACAGGTAAGTGCCATCCCCTAGGGCAGAGGTGACCAACCTCTGGCACAGATGCCACACATAGCATGGACAGTCGGTGTGTGTGGCATGTAGCATGCTGGGGAGGGGACAGGCAGTACAATGGCAGATAAAACAGGGAGCAGCAAGCAAACCAGCAGTTCAGGAAGGGAGCACAGGGCAGAAAACAGAAAGCTGAGCAGCACGTTTGGCCAGGGAACCCAGGGCAGGAAGCAGAAAGCAGAGTAGCAGCTTGAACAGAGGCAGGGGATCGGAGTGCCATTTATTAGCCCAACAGCCTCCCTTTGTGGCACACCTGCCAAAAAGGTTGGCCCCCACTGACCTAGGGTCTTGCTTCTCCAACAAGTGAGGGCCAATCAAAAAAAGAGGGGCGGCCCAATTAGGAAGATAACTAAATCAGCTACCCTTGAGTGTCCTCCATTTAGTCCTTCTGCACCTTCAGCCAACCTTCTCCACCCATCCCCCAAGAGGTCCAGATCCCAAACCCTGCAATCTGCTAGTTGCCCCAGATGTATCCCTTTAAAGAGCATAGGCAGAGCATCTGGCCCCAGAGATCAGGCAGCTGTAAGAACTGGTGGGAGGACTGGAAGAGATGAGGCTGTTCTTTAAGCCCGTTTCCTAAGCCAGGGAGACAAAGCAAGAGTCTGGCTTGACCTGCTTGGTAAAATAAGTAGAAGGCAGAGACAAAGAGACCAGTACAAATGGGTTATGCTTAAAATAATTTGGGGTTTTTAAGGTTTCAGCTAAGGCTACAAAACTGTGATGGCATCCTAATCAGTTGCTATCAGGATAGAGGAAGTGGCCAGAATGGAATCACAGCACACATGCTTTCAATTGAGGAATTACACAATGAGGTTTATGCTCTTTTCTGGAGGTTGGTTCTTGGGGAGTCACTTGGAAACCTCTGGATTGGACTAAACAGCTTTGAAGAGGAGGAGCAAGCCACCATGGATGCCACCAGTGGGGCCACCACCCCACTGGGCTTTGTTCTAACCCATAAAGGTGCCCTGGTGAGACCAGGCCAAAAAGAGGAAAACAAGTCTGGGTGGATCCTGAAAAAAACAGCTGAGATTTGAACCTGAGGTTCACCCGTCCCCAAGCAATGTCATCTTCCTTCCCCATCTTCTTTCACTTCTTTCCTATCTTCCCCTTCCTGCCTCCTCTCTCTGCTGGCTTAGCTGGCCAAAAAGACGTGCTTTTGCAACACCTCTATAATGACAAAGGCAGCTAAAAACAGTGGCTTCAAAGCCTGTCATGGTTAAATTAGTTAGTTGCTAAAGCAGCAAATATGATCATGAGCCATGGCTGCTATTTTCCAGAAGAGAGGACCAATACAGCCCTACAGTCATCTAATGTCTCCAACTACTGGCACGCCAGACCCTGAGCACCTCTCTCTATATGCAGCACCCCTGATCACTCACTCACCACTTAAATGCCTCATGAAGCTAACCCTCCCAGAATTAAATTGGCTTTGTTACAGACTGACATAACCACATGGATTGCTCAAGAAAACACACCACTGCTTTGAAAGAAGCCACACAGATCTTCTGTCTTGCTTCATTATTGCCTCTGAAAAAATCCCAGCCATCCAAGGGACAAGGGAGATACTTGGGTTCTGTTAGGCAGCCCTGGAGACTCAAATACCACAAAGAGTTTGTACCTTGCTTTGAAGGGGAATGTACCTGGGTGCAAAGTGGTTTCTCTAGGGGTGGACAGACTGGAAGGGGCAAGCACTCCATGGTAGAATGGCTGATCACAAAAACCAAAGCCCTGGGAGCTGAACCTTGTCTGGGCCACCACACGTTACAGAACCATGTTCCACATGGCTGCAGAAAGTCAGAGAGCATCTTGGCCTCTAGCAACAAAGATGCTGATGACATACTGTTACATCCAACACACAAAGGCCTTTCCTGCCTAGTCTTATCAGCAGATACCATCCTATCATCCAGACACCACACATGCTACACTGTGACTGACTGGGGTTAGGGGGTTCTCTTGTGTTCATGACCCAGCTATATACACTCTTTTCCTATGCCCATCCCATGTTGCCAAAGTTTATAAGCCATTTAAAACAGTGTTACCAAGAGTTTCTTCTTCTTCTGATCCTCCATGGGTTTCCCATTGTGATACCACTGGTAGTGTGGAGCTGGGATACCCAGGGCTGCACACTGGAGCTGTAGTTCCTTGCCCACTTTCACCTCCAACACAGTTGGGTTGATGACTATGACTGGTTCTCCTTGCCACAGTTCTGGGAGCAGGTCTAGAAAGCAACATTACAAATGAATGGCAATAGTGTCCTTCTCATTTGTCATCATATAATAAGAAGTGGCTCCTCACAGCAAGGCTCCATGCCAGCAAGGTTGCAGAGCACCAAACCACAGCATAGTTCCCATCCATCCAGTGTACTTTGCTTTCACCTTCAAGGCATGGCCTGACTCCCAGAGCCTCTCACCATCCCAAAGCAAGCCTCTCCCTATCAAGCAGTTTTTGGAACTGCAACATATTTTCACTCTCCAGAACCCAATCCAAGTCAGGCAAAGTCTGGCCTGCAGCAGACTCCATTTCCCAGTAGCCCCTGCCCACATCACTGCAACCAGCTTTCTTGGAGACCCCAGCAGCGGCAGCACTGTGACAGCGAGGGACCATGGTTTCCATGGAGAGCAGCCCCAGCAGCGCTGGCAGGGAAGGGAGCTGCTCTGGAGCTGGGATCTTGAGGTGGTGACAATGTGGTCCAGAGCCTGGGCAGAGTGGGCAGTGGACTGCGGCTGTGCCCTGGCTGCAGGCCACACTGTCACCACTGCAAAATCCCAACCCCGACCCTGGAGCAACTCCCTGCCCAGCTGTGCACCCTGCCAGTGCTGCTGAGGCCAGTCTTCATGGAAACAATGGCCCCACACTTGAATAGCACCCTCGCTCCTGGGGTCTCCATGGAAACTGGCCATAGCAACGTGGGCAGGGTCTGCTGGGAAATGAAGTCCAGCTGCTAGCTGGATCTGCCATTTTGCCCACCATTGGTCTACAGCCACCCACTTTTCTGAACACACCTCTCCATGGCACTCCAGCACCAAGTGAACATTTAAAAGCCCTATAGGCTTAAAGTTATCTTGTTTACTTTGTCCCAGTTTCTAAGACTTGCTATTTCCCCCGTCCCATTGCCAAGTTCAAATGTAGAAAGTGTTATAAACAGGAGGAGTCAAACACTTGTGGAAAGATGACAGGATTTAATTTACTCAGGAACACAGACACAGCTGTTTGACTTAAAGATGTTTGACTTAAAGATGGTCACTTAATTGAAGTCAGCTTTCCCTTGGTACCTCAATTTTATGGGCTGGCCCCACATATTGCCAGGGAAGATCCACAGGCCTGGAAGGTCTCTGTGTCCTAAGAGAAAGTGAAAACTCAGCAAAAGGATTCAGGTCAAATGCACTGGAAGGCAAGAGGGGAAGAAGAAGTGCTCGTACCTCTGGCAATACGTTGATGGACCTCCACTTTCACCCAGTTAGAGAAGGTGAAGTTTCTTTGCAAGTCGTTGATCCTGCAGATGTACAGTTGGGTTTCTCTGGCAGTGATGAGCAAGTCTGGCTCGGTGGCACCAGTAATTTGGCAGCAAGCAGACTAAATAAGGAAAGAAAATGCAGGCAGTGGGAAATAGCAACAAATCCTCTCTCTTCACTGGTATCTCTGTAACCACAAGACACCTGCAGGTTCTCAGGGACGTATATTAAAGTAGAGAAGTCCCTGTCAGCTATGCTGATAGATGAGGCAGAGAAGGGTATCGGGCAAGTGAGCCCTTTTCACAGCTCTCAGCAATTCTTCAGCCTCAGAGTCCTACACAGTCATGGCAGCATCCTCCCAGACTCCATTCTCTTGGCTCTTTTCTTTCCCATCCTTCTGGTTTCTTGACTCGCCCAACCCAAACTCAGCTCCATTGTCCCACAGCACATCCAACAAGGCAGACCAAAGCAGCCCACTGGTGGGGAAAGAACTGATCAGAATGAGCTAAGGAGTCAGGCCAAACTGCTTCTGTGGCCTTGAACTTGGGGCCTTGGCCCACCTTGTTCAGTCACTCATCCCAGTGTTTTACTTCCTCAGCCAAGCTTTGGAGTGGACATAGGTGGTCAGAACTCATTATCTGGGCCTAGCCACCCACCCACTCCCTGAAACAAAAATGGCCAGCCAGGGTCAGTTGACCCTTTACCCAAGTGACCCAGGCAAGGAAGCATTTGGGCAACAAGACTCAACTTTGTACTCGGGCTGCCTCACCCTTGGCTTACCTCTGCTGGATTCTCTGGCTACCTGACCCGGCTTGCCTGTGGACCCTGAGAATGGTGACCCTTTAGCTCCCTAACCCAATTCTGGTGTGATCTCCCAGATACCTGACCTGGCTCACCTCCTGACCCTCTATGCTGCCCAACCCTCTGGATCTCTGACTTAGTTCCCCAGACAGATCTTCTGGCTTCTTGTCTCCCCTACACTAGAACTCTACACACTCCACTCGGATCTTAGTTGCCTCTTCTGACCCTGGTTGAACCCCAGACCTGGCCACCCATGACCTGGCACAACTGCTGCCAGGTATCACTTTGTGGCGGAAGGGAACTGCTTTTTCCAGGCTGTGCAAATGTGCTGCAAGTAGCAATCCACTGAATGAAACAAGCAGGCAGAGCAGAGCACTCCCCTTCCTTTCGCTCCTGTTGTGTTCGCTGACCTTGTCCTAGAAGCAAGATTCATCCTAATAAGAAAGTATAGCCAAAAGCCCTGATTTAACAGGGGCCCTTTCCCTTGCTAAGAAGGGACTGCATGAAAACCCTGCTGATGTGAGACTGCTAGGAAAGGAAAGGTGATCATGCACATGTGTGCCTGTATATGCAAACTTGTGTACATATGAACATGTGTATGTGCATGTGGATGTAGACATGCAAAAGTGTGTGTGCATGTGTATACATGGAGGGGAGAATCTGCCAAGCAAATGGCCATTCCTCTCAGTTTCTAAGTGTTTTCACCTTACACGCTAGTGTATCGTGATAACACTTGGGCAGAGGAGAACTATGCCTTTGCCCACAAGGGAAGTGTCACCGTCCTCTAGTACTTCAACACCCAAACCAGTGACTCTCAACCAGGGTGCTGCAGCACCCTGGGCTGCCCTGAGATCCTTTCAAGGGTGCCCCAAGTTGCCACACAGTGATAGCACTGTTAGGTGTGCAAACATGATTCACAAGCTAAACCCAGAGATTTCAAATAAGAATCTATAGAATTAAAAATATTCTAACTAGTTGTGGTCTTTGAGTTCTTTGCACAGAAAAAGTGCTGTATTATTTCCATAAACAAAAATATGTGAAAAAGAAGAGCTAGCATTTTCCAAAGGGTGCCTCAAGCCTTAAAAAGTTGAGCACTACTAACCCAGACACTGCACTGAACTTGCAGCCTGCACAATAAATACTTGCAGCCTGGTAACCAAATACCAGACATTTTGTCACTGCCAAGTCCTGTGAGCACCTGGGGTCAGCTCTTCTCCCTACTCAGTGGGAGAGAAGGAGAGCCCTGCCAGAGGAGCTAGTCCCAGGGAGAATGATGACATGAAGCACCAGGCAGTGGAGGGGCAGGGTTTGGGAGCAGAGTAACAGCTAATTTCCTATGAAAGGGCAAAATCCATGCTCACAATCAAGGGCTCCTGCTCTGTGCAGCCAGGTACCCATAAACATCTGGTGCGAGGGATCTGATATCTCTTGGCCTTCACGCTTTCCCATCAGTCCATGCCCTTTCCTGCCTCCCCCTCTTTCCTACCTGCTTCTCCTCAATGAGGTGACTTCAGTTTCTATGTGATGGCCCTTCCAGATCAGCTGCTTTCTTTCTTTTCACTTTCTTCCTTGCTTGGCCTCAGTCACTGAGCTGGCTCCTTCCTTCCCTTCTCCTGTCAAAGTCTGCTTCCCCTGGCTCTAGTCTCTCAGGACCTGGCTGCCTTTCTCTGATCTCCATTGTACCTCCCTGAGCAATACCTCCCTCTTTTCCATCGCTCACACCTGCCATGACATGTAGCACGCAAGCCTCACTGGGATTTTTGGCCTCCTCTTTCACATGCTAGCCTCTTTCCTCTCTGCTAACTCTGTGGTCTACAGGTTCAAGTCCTTCTTGCCTGTATCCAACTCTTGTTTTTCCCCACCTACAGGTTCTTGCTTTTCCTCTGCCTATGTTCTTATCTCTCAGGAAGCTGAACGCCTCTGGAGAAAATCTAAAACACATGGGTTAGGAGGGGGTGGGGATGGGGAATTCTCCACCTACTGGAAAATCCCCCTCCTTTCTCCAAATTCTGCTGCAAATTTCCTTGCTGAACAAAACTGCTTATCTATTAATAAGTACCTAAAACATAATAAAAAGTGATAAATATAGCTAATATGGATTGTCAGAAGTAAATCATGCCAAACCAATACAAATTCATTCTTTGACAGAACAATTAGCCTGGTAGATAAAGTAGAAAGAAGTATATGCAATATACCTTCACTTTCCTACAGGTCTTGATACCATCCCAAGTCATTTTGTCATAAGCAAACTGGGGTATAAGTGAAAATCAAAAGCAAGTGGAAGCACAAGAGGTGAAAAACTGCTCTCAAAGGGGAAATATCAATGGTCCACTATTCCACTGGGCAGGTATCTCAAGTGGGAAATCTCAAAGCAGCTGGGTGTGGTCCTGTTCAGTATTTCAGTTAATGACTTGGATGACAGAACAGAGAGTACACTTATACAATCTGGGGATAACACCCAAGTGGGAGGGTTTGCTAGCATGATGGAGGACAGCCTCAGAACTCAAAACGATCTTTACAAGTTGGAGAAATGGACCCAAATCAAAGACAAATTCAGTTAAAAAAAAAAGGAGAGCACTACTGTTAGGCAGGAGAAATTAAATGTACAAATAAAAACAGGGAATAACTGGCTAGGCAGCAGTACTGAAGGAAAATGATCTGGGGATAAGTGTAAATCAAAAACTGAATGAGAAGCTGTTGCAAAAAGGCAAATTTCATTCTGGGAGCTAGCAACAACTGTGTCACAGGTAAGACATGAGAGGTAATTACTCCTCTGTACCTGGTACTAGGAGGCCTCACCTGAATACTACATCCAACTCTGGACATCATATTTTAAGCAACACAGACAACTTGCAGAGTTGAAAGGACAGCAACAAGAATAAGAGGGGTAAATAACATGGTCTTTGCAGAGCAGTAGAAAAAACTGAATTAGTTTAATGCAGAAAAGACAAGAGAAGGGGGACAAGACTATAGTAGGCTTGAAGTGATGTAGTAGCCATGATGGTCCAGGAAATATGCAAGAAGGAAGGCTTTTTTGGTGATCTCTCTTTTATATCAGAGATGTTAGACCAGTTTTCAGGCATAAAGTGCTCTTTTTCAGGTCTGGGAAAGAAACAAGTACAGCCTAAGCTTAATAACAGAGTTGTGTGTGATAGCCAGAGAGCTGTAAATGGCAAATCTCCTGGGAATCATAGAACCATAGATGAGTAGGGCTGGAAGGCACCTCAGAAGGTCATCTACCCCCAGCTCAGGGTAGGATCATCCCAGTTTAAATCATTCTAGACAAATGTTTCTCTAACCTAGTCTTAAAAACTTTGCAAACAATTATCTCAAACAACTATCAGGCACAATGCCCAACACATCAAATACACACTAACTTGCCACAGGTAAAGCCTGGAGAGGAAGGCACCGTCACTGTCCTGCCACGCTATAGAGAGGAAGTAGTTGCTAATTATTCTCAACAGATCCAAGGAAGAGGAGGATGTTACATTTCTTGCACAAGGTTAGGCAATAGGCACTAGCTGTCACAATGTAATCTGGCTTCTTTTCTCTTCATGTTGTGAATTTTCCATTGTAAAAGGTGAATTTCAATATGATAATATTCTTGCATTACATACAAGAAAGAAGGAGTTAGTGTGAAGTGCGGCAGAACGTAGGGCAGGGTAGCACCTTAGAGATGTACTTGTTCAGAGAAAAGGTTTTAATAAAGAAAATCATGACCAACTGTTTTTTTGGAGGGGGGGTTGTGGAAATGGAAAAAAGACAAGAATAAATCAGCTTAATTTGCAGCAAAAGTGATTTGGCTTGGATATCAGGGAATACTTTCTAACTATAAGCGTAATGAAGCAGTGGAGCAGGCTGCCTCATGATCACTAAAGCTTTTTAAGAACCGGTTAGACAAACTTCTCTCAGTGGTGGCCTAGGTATCAGTGACCCTTCCCCAGTGCAGGGGGGTTCCTGCCTCAGTACAGAAAGCGTGGCTTCTTCGAGTCCCTTTTATCCCTCAATTTCTCTGAAACTACTCCATGTTTCTCTGCTCCTGTATCCCCAGCTACTAGAAACCTGTCCTCTCCTTTCAGCTCCCCAACCTCAGACCCACGGTCTTTCCTTGTTCCTGCCCCTTGGCTACTTTGCCTTAGCTGATTTCAAATTGCTTGCAACTGCGGTATTCCTTCACTCCTTGCAGTGGGCCCCATGCTCCAACCCGTCCCAGCTCTTCTCCATGCAACCAGTTATACAGGCAGCCACTCAGGCATGGAGGCTTTGCAGTCCCAAGACTAAGAGGCATTCTCTTCCTTGGTCATTTCCAGAGCTGCCATAAACATGGTTTAGGGAGAGGGAGCTCTCTCTCCTGCAGTCAGAGATGGGACTGGATTTCTCTGGCCTTACCTGGAGCTGGGAGAACCACTGATACCGCAGGGAAGTGCAGGCCTCCGCTCTACATCGCAGAGTGAGAGAGTAACCGGCAGGGACGGAGGCAGAGACTGGCTGCTCGGTGATCACAATGGCTACGTGGAAACAGAAGCAGCCCTGTTAGGAAACCCAAGGGGCAGACAAAACAGCAGAAGAGGGGCCTGGCACACAGGGCCCTCACCCATGCAGGGTCTTCTCTTTGCTGTGGAGCAAAGGGGGCCGTGGCACAAGGCAGGGCACTGTTTTCTCAGGTATTTGTTTGGTGCCAGATTGAGGTCTGTCCCCACCTGGGTGTGATGGAAGAAAGGATGGTACCAGGAGCCTTCACTCAACACCTAAGGAGCAGGGTACCAACTGCAGTCCCTGAGCATGGGCCCTGGCAAGAAGGGGCAGGCAGGGGCCGCAGACTTGCCTTTCTCTGTGACACCTCATTGAACTGGCCAGGCATATGACAGGGGTGCTGAAGAAACAGATTTTGAAAGCCGACAGGCACCCAATGCCTAGGATACGGCACAAACCCAGAGGGTTTAAACACCTCTGGACCACAGACCTGTTTGATCTGGCTGACAAAGCAGGCCTCATTGAGGCCTTGTATATGCCCCCTCCAAGCCACACCTGAGAACTGCACCCTATCTACTCAGGCCTCCTCAGCAGGCACCAGGGTCCTGAAATGAAGCAGTGTAGATGGTTTAGAGGCTACTATGAGCACACACTCAGAGGCACGCTCAAGCTGTGCATCCTGGGGGTGCTTCTTGGTGCACAGTCATGGGATGCGCTAAGTTGGCTAACCTGTCTAGTGTCTGAGCACTGGCATGTGCTGAGCGGAACCAAACAGACAGTGTGTGCCTCTCATCAGTTCTCCCAGGCTTGCTAGAGTCCCTCCCAGGCCCTCCACAACTCAATAGGCCCTAGTAGCTTAGCAACATAGAGTATATGGCAGACAGCTGGTATGAAAACACCCATTGTGTCTCTACACTTCAGCCCAAGTTGAGTTTAGGAAGAGAAACAACACTATTGTTCATCACTGACATTCAAAAGTCATGAGTCAGATCCTCAAAAGACTAAAATTGACTCAAATATCATCAGAAGAATTAAATAATGCAGTTTGTTCCATTTGTCTTCTGGTACCTTTGGTGCAAGGGAGTTCAGGGCTCAGGTTTTCTACATTTCCTCTGCAAACAAGGTGCAGGTAGAAATTTGTTTTGTATTTTAAATGGAAGCAAAGTGTCTCCCACCATCGTGTGCCTACAGCAGCTGGGGCTTTAAGACACCAAGAATTGGATAATCTTCCACCTAGTACATGCCTAAGTGCAATCCTAATACCCTGCTCAAGACTCTAAAAAACACCAGGACTCCTTTTTTTATAATACACCATCATCTTAGCCTTGAGACTAAGTCACCAAAACTAAATCAGCAGGAAGAGACCCACCTGCCTTCTGCATTAACTGTTTTTCAGGGACTAAGGCTAGGTGGAATGGGATGGCCTTTAGGCAGTCAAGTCTACTTAGATGCCTATTAGGTGAAGAAAGTTTTGTCCCCAAGTCTCAAGAGACTCGTTGTCTCACTTCAAGCCAGCAGCATAAGGATGAGCACTTCAACCAAGCCGATAAGCTCTGGGGAGCAGGAGAGAGATGTGGCAGCTACTACAAGCTGCAGCAAAGGCAGAAACTGTCTTCAAACTTTGCCAAGGTGCTGCTCACCTTTCAGCATCGCTTAATGGGCAACTTGTCCTTCCCAGGGCACAGGCAAGAGCCCAGCCTCTGCAGCCATGCGCTTCACCCCTGGTGGCTCTGCCGTCTAGGAAACAGCACCTGCCTCTGGAAAGAAGCAAAGAGTTCTTGTAAGATAGGAAACCCTTGGCACCTGTGGCAGCAAATCAAACAGAGGCAGCTGGGTGTTGCCTGATCCATCCTCACTTGTACCCCAACATGAAGCAGGAGCAAGAAGTCACCTGCTTACTGCTACAGTGGCCCTATGCCCACTTTACCTTGGCTACAGAGAAGCAGCCATATGCTCCTCACAACCAGAAGGAGAAGGTGGAACAGAGACAAGTGAGCGGCACCGGGAACATATGGCCTTAGCTCTCCTAGATGAGGAGAATGCGGGGGTGGAAGTCAAGCAGAGTTGAGAGGGGGAAAATGAAGGTGCGGCTCAGATCATGGGAGCCCAGAGATCTGATAGGGAGGAATGATAGTAAGGAGGAATTAAGGCTCATCAGAAATGGGTTAGGCAAGGAGATGGAGGGGGAGTCAGAATTGTTCAGGGAAAGGGGTGTGGAGGTGTCCTGATCTCTACCAAGGGAAGAGAGAGTACCGAGCTTTGTTACAGAGGACCTCCTGGAGCTAAATAAGCTAGGAGATGGGGACAAGAGCTGGGAAGCTAGGGCCCTGCTGTTCAGCCTGCCTTCCCCCGGTACCCATAGCTTTACTTGTCTCCCCTATCCCCTTCACCCACAATTTTCCTCTCAACTAGCCTCTGTCCCTGCAACTGCTCCATCCAGTGTGCTACAAGCCTGGACCTACAGCAGCTTAGAGCAACTATACTAAACTGGTACTTCAGCCACACCATAGACATGCTCCTTATGTCAAGGAGGTGGGCATAGGACACTTGGATGATAACATCAGGGGAAATCTTAGCTGGACAGATTAGTTGGCTTCACCCCCTGTGGGCTGGGCACTATGTGGGCATGCAGTCTGTTGTAAAACTGCCGAAAGACAGGCCTTGCAGATCACATTCACCCCTGGGGAACTCTCATGGTTTCAGTGGAAGCACTCCAGGGAACAGCACGGCTCAGTCACAGAATCACGGAAAATTTGGGTTGGAAGGGACCTCAGGAGGTCATCTAATCCACCCCCTTGCTCAGAGCAGTACCATCCTCAACTACATCATTCCAGCCAAGCTTTTGTCTACCTGGGTCTTAAAAACCTCCAAGGATAAAGATTCCAGCACCTCTCTGTCCCAATGCTTTACCACCCTCCTAGTGAGAGAGTTTTTCCTAATATCCAACCTAAACCTCCCTTGCTGCAACTTGAGATGATTGCTCCTTGTTCCGTCATCTGTCACCACTGAGAACAGTTTAGCTCCTCTTTGTAACCACTCTTTGGGTCTGTCTACATGTGCAATTAATGTGTATCAATAAACTCTTGAGTTAATTGAGCCAGAGTTTTTTGCTCCCAGGCATGCTGTTGGAACATGTTCCCAGGAGCAAAAAACTCCAGAGCGTATGGCATTATTTGTGCACAGCGTGTGGAGCCCAGTCAGAGCAACCCAGGCTGGCAGGGGACCTGGGGGTCAGCCTGCCAGCCCAGGGCTCCTCTGACTGGGCTCCTCTGACTGGGCTCCACGTGCTACGGAGGGGCTGGCTGAGGCACATATGCCTATGCAGCTAATAAACTCTGCAGCAGGGTTGTACAGGGTAGTACTTATTTTTCAAGTACTACCTTGCTGCGGATTTTTTTCATGCACAGCAGCACACATGTGAACGCTACCCAGTTGGCTGAAGCACCCCAATCAGCTGCTCCGTAGCACATGGAGCCTGGTCGGAGCAGTTCTGGACTGGCAGAGTGACCCCCGGCTCAGCTAGCCCCACACTGAAACACCCTGTGTTCCAGCCAGCCAGGACATGTGCTGCTGTGCTGCTACACATGCGCTGCTGCGCATGAAAAAATTCTACAGCAGAGTATATACAAGTACTAACCTGCTGCAGAGTTTATTAGTAATAGGGGTGCACATGTAGACACTGAGACATTTACTGCACAGTTAATTAGTCAACTACACAATAAACATCTCATGTAAACGTGCGCTTCAGGTAATTGAAAGCTGCTATTAAATCTCCTCTCGGGCTTCTTTTCTCCAGACTAAATAAACCCAGTTCTCTCAGCCTCTCCTCATAAATCATACAGCCCAGCCCCCCAACCATTTTCACTGCCTTCCACTGGACTCTCTCTAGATTGTCCACATACTTTCTGTAATAAAGTGCCCCAAACTGGACACAGTACTCCAGATGTGGCCTCACCGGTGCCGTATAGAGGGGAATAATCCCTCAATCTGCTGGCCACGCTCCTACTAATGCAGCCCAGTATACTGTTAGCTTTTTTTGCAACAAGAGCACACTGCTGGCTCATACTCAGCTTATTATCCATTGTAACCCCCAGGTCCTTTTCTGCAAAACTGTTGCTTAGCCAGTCAGTCCCCAGCCTGTACCAGTGTATGGGATTGTTCCATCCTAAGTGCAGGACTTTGGACTTTGTCCTTACTGAACCTCACGGCATTTCTTTTGGTCCAGTCCTCCAATTTGTCAAGGTCTCTCTGAATTCCAGCCCTGCCCTCCAAAATATCTACTACTCCTCCCCCCCCCAACACTTGGTGTCAGATTATCAGCAAGGTTATGATTACAATTGCTGTTGCTGTATTACTGTTTTAAATAGCTCCATAGATCCATCTGGCCTAGCATATTAGTAAAATGAAACATAAAACACTCCAACAGGCTACAATTCATGAAGTATATCTATGAATTTTTAAACCAGATATTTTATTACAGCCCCAGTCCCTGTCTGCACTCACTGCTGTGGCTATAAAGCAGGTCCTTTGTGCAGTTAAGCTTCTAGCTTTTAAAACATGGACTGTGTTAAGACAGCAGCATGATCAGCTTTGCTAACAGCTCCATCATATTAAGGCGCTCAGATGCACTGGTGATGGACTCACAATTAGTGCCTGTCAGAGGCACTCAGTCCCGGTTGGCTCAGAAGCCCCCTGAGCAGTCAGCATTAAGGAAAAGAGTAGCAATATATCCCATACACACCCCTCAGTGAACTGCAGCAAACACGCTCCGGTTTAAATTTTTAAAACCCGACAGTACATTATAATACTGTAGTACAAGGGTTGCATTAGTCACAGCTGCAGGAAAGATTACCTAACACAGGCCGTCAAAAGACAAGAAAGCTTTGATAACCTTTTCTGTGAAGAGCCAGGGGGGGCAGGAGGGGAGGTTTAAGTAGAAGCCAAGGGATCCAAGGTCAGAATATCTCTGACCTAGAAAAATGATACACATGTACAACTAACAGTGACACTGACACTATAAGTATTTAGATAGGCAAGTGCTAGTACAGTAAATGGGGGAACAGGACAACTGAACTCAAAGGAACCAGAGGGCAGCCCGAGGGCAAAGGGGAGGAAGAGATGGTCAGGAATGTGTTAAAGGGGTATAAATGGCCTTTTAACTGAGTGTGCTGCTAACATTTCTTGTTAGCTACAGCCATGACAGTGCTATATTCATCTTGTTTAAAAATCAAAAAACATAATGACCAGGGTTTTGTTTATAAAATCCTTCACCTTAACAGCAAGTATGGATTGTGTTTTTTCTGACAGGCAGTAGCACAACCTTAATGCTTCCCACATGTTGCTCAAGACAATGCCAGAAGACGTAAGGAAGCGGTGTAAACTTTGCTTTGTTTTATGCTGTCCTACCATATGGTGATTTTAATAGAATGATTGCAGCAATACTGAAAAACAGACCTCCGACTTTCTCCTGTCCCCAGCTTAGGCCTCAGGGCTGGGAGGAGCTGAGAGCATCTGCAACTTGGGTCCCACTTGTGATCGGAAAGTATCGTTTCTCCCATTTCAGTGCTTTCAGATCCCTTATAACTTTCTGAACGCACCAGCATTCATCAGCCAGTGGTTAGAGACGGCCTCATGTCTGCTAGAGAAACACCCCTGTCCCCGTCAGTCCCTGCCAGACAAGCAGGGGATTCTGACTCTCCCACAAGTTAAGCCAAATCCAAACCCCGGCGTCCAGCCGGCAGGGCAGTGTGCCCAGGCAGGGAGGCTGCCAGGAGGAATCACAGAGGCCGCTCATGTGCCTCTTTCTAAGTCCTTCACTGCGCAAAGGAATATGAAAAGAGCTACAGAGAGGAGGAAAGAGACCGGTTCTGCCCGGGAAAAAGCACTAGGGGACTTACCAGGCGGTTAGCAGCCCCTTCACAACCTGCTCCTCGGAAAGGTTCTGACTGTACTGAACATCGGGGATCCAACACTTCCTCATTTCTGCAGTGACTTGGTGAGGAGTCTCACACCAACACACCAGGCTGAGTCACTAGCCAATCCCAAAACAAGCCTAAGCACAGAAAGTGAAACTGGGGGAAAATTCAGACTGCCAGCCAGTCTCCACCCTCTGAGTGAGACTCTTTGGAGCTAGCTCAGGAAGCAACACCCCGTGTTAGCCCCGTGTGAGTGGACATCTCTTCACAGGCGACTTGAACACATTTCTCTGTCACAAGCTGCCCCTAGTAGGGGATTTCCCAGCCGCATTCAAAGACTGCCTATGAATCAGCACTCAGATTTCTTCTTTTAGCTCAATATTTCTTAAAGGGATAATGAGCTATAACAGTAGCAGCCATTAGCCACAGTACTGCTCACAAGCTACCGCACAGACAGACATGCTCACAGAAGCCCTCCACAATTCCTGCCCAGCCACAACCTCTGCTCTGCCTTCTGACAAAACCTCCGCATTTCTGAGCTGACAAGCAAGTTATGCAAGGGAATAATGTCACTTGTCACTTTTTTACTTTGCCGCAACCAGAATGTACGGATTCCAAGAGGGTAAAGAGCAGGATGCAGAACCCGCTGCAGGAGACACTGCCTTAAGGTCAAAACATGGAATTTCGGCTCTACAGAAAATGCTGACATTTCATAAAAAGCTTCTGCCTGGTATAGAACAAGCGTTACAATTTTCAAAATTCCCAGCAGAAGGGAAACTCCATTCTGTTCCCATTCCTTTTTCATTTCACAAGAACCAAAGCATTTTGGCTTTTGGAGCTGGCTGCTGGCTGCCTCAAAATTTCCTGGGCCCTCTTGACTGCCATAGATTCCTTCTGCAGCTCCTGGGGCCTGTGGAATGGGAAGCCTACAGTAGAGATCTCCAGCCATAAGTGTCAGAAAGGCTGGGTTTTCAGCTGGATGGCAAGTAGCTGAGAAGCCCTGTAGGAGCCAGCTTGACCCAGGTGTAGAACTTGGGGTCTCAACCCCAAGAGAGAACTGGCTTGAACTGTGTGTTTGAAGTGTCCAGATTTCATCCTGCACATGGGGGATCCAGGTGCTAGGAGCTGAGTCCTGGCTACAGCTGGAGCTCCAAGGAATTCCAAAGATACCTGCACAGGCCAAGATCCCGACCATGAGACAGGCCAGCTGAGCAACCCATTAGACAAACTGGAAGAGACTTCCCTGTGCAGGGCAAAAGTTTATCAAAACTAAGATGCTTCTGTGTAATCTTTCAGTTTTGTCAGATCTGCATTCTCTGAATGCTTTGTCAAAAATTCCCCACCAACTCTGCCAAGAAATTGAGAGGACATTAAACCTATGCAAGAGAAGCTGTGACCACCATGCTCTGGAGATAATGCAGGTAGTGGCTGCAACTAGGTTTGGAGAAATCTGAGACCTGAGACACCTTGGAGTGCTTCATAGCTCTGCTCATGCAGTCTAGCTTCTCAGAGGCAAAGCCCTAGTTATGACATACAGTGCCTATATCTTCATCTGGCCCTTGCCATAACCTCTCACAGTTGGGACTGTAGCTTGTAGACAAGGCCGGGTCAATACATCAGGTCTCCACTTGGTTTATATATTGTAATTCTTTTGATGAGTCAGTGTGGTGATGGCCTACTAGTTCCAGCACTCCCATCTCTGAAGGGTTTTGTGGATGAATGCTGGCTCCTGCATTTCCTCAGACAAGAGAGATGACCAGAGGGGCTGCAGTGACACTCCTGCTGGGTAAACTGCCTCCCTTTCTAGGCCATGGGACACCAGTGGGAGGATAGGGGAACATGGCTGCACCACTTTCACATCCAGTAGTGGACCAGGAATGGGGCGAGGGGGCTGTGCCTCCCCCCCATGCTTTGGCTGCATCATGGATGTGCAGTGAGCTCTGATGGCTCCTCACCAAAGCTCTCCACGGTGCTGTTGGCTGGGGTGGGGACACTGAGGGGTAGTGAACAGAACTGTGGGAGAAATAATAGCAGGTGGGAGGGCAGGGGATGGTATATAAGGCAGGGAAAGGGGCTTTGCCAGGGAGACAGGCACTGTGTGAATGAGGGTGCCTATGGCCAGCCTCCCAGTGTCTCACCACTGTACTGGCTTCCCTGTGCCTCAGCTGCAGCAGTAAAGCTTCAGTACCTAGTGCAGTAGATGCAGCAGCACAGGAGGCTTCTAAACACCATTGCTTGGTGCAAAGGGTCGGAACCGCCCACCCCAGACCCCTGCCTGGGAACATTTTTTGCTGTCTCTGCACATTTTGTCTTACACTTCAGGTCCCATTTGTATCTCAGGCCTACTCATTGCTCACTGAGACCCCTGACCCTGCACCTCAACAGAGCCAGTGTTACTTCCTCACGGTATCCACCTTGCCCCATAATCACCTTTCATGCTCTCCACTGAATCATGCTCATCTCCCCTCATCCCCTTCCTACAAACCTCTACTCTCACCTATTTCTGAACCTCCTTCATCCCAGCCCACCTCTGTGATTTCATTGTTGGGATTTCCTGAACTTATGGAATAACCTCCCTCTCTTCACAGCAAGGACAGTCACATATCCTGGTAAATTTACTTGGTAAATTTGCCTATGTGTTTCACATCAAAAATTAAAATGATCCTGTGCTTCAGGTAATTAAACTTGTGAGCCAACTGCAAATTAAAGCTCTGATCTAACAGTATGCTCTTGATGCTTTGTGCTGCTCTGGTGAGGCAAAGTTCTCATAAAGCTGGCTTAGCTGGCCAATACACTCTGAAGCCTGTTAACTTGACCACAAAATTTATAAACAAGAAGATCTAAGGTTGATACATCACATCTTCAGCTGGGTGGAGGCCATGCCTGGTCGCACTCTATTTGGATTCTTTTACAAGGGTTCATGTAAGACAGTCATGTCAAACGTGGCCCGCAGGCTGGGTCCAGCCCATAGACCTATGTCATCTGGCCCACAGCCTTGATGGTAGGGACCTTCCCGTGGCTGTAGCTAAGTGCCCAGGTGAGAGCCAGGGCTCTGGAGCTCCAGCAGCATCAAAGGAAAGAGCCTGGCACCGCAGCTTTTTCCCATGGCAGCAGCCAAGAGCCCAGGTGAGAGCTGCAGTGTTTGAGCCCCAGCAGCTCTGTGGGAAGAAAAGTGGTGCTGCAGTTTGTTTCCACACTGGTAGGCAAGTGCACCCAGGACGCTGGGCATCTTCCCACTGGACCACAGACTGGAAGGAGTGGGGCGGCCATGCACCATTCATCCGGCCTATTGTGGTGGGAGAAAACTCCCTGGGGTTCATTGTCTAGCTGCATAGGAACCAGACAACCACGGGTAAAGGTTTACTGCAGTATATTTGCTCGAGCAATGACCATTAAACCAGCAAAGAGGCAAAATGGCCCCCCCTCAAGGGTGAGGCGATCTTTTATACTTTTTACAACAAGGCAAGACTATAGGGTTAACAAAAGCAATACTTGGGCAGTGCTTTATAAATCTTCATAACAGCATATTTCTATTAAGCTGAACTAGCACTTTTTAAAAGCTAAAAGTTAAGTAACAGTAACATTATGATATGTTAGCAAGAACTTGCAGTAGTAGATACTTCTTAAGGACACGATCACTGTACTTAGAACAATGGCTTCTTTGTCTTATCTTGTTCTTTGCTGTAGCTGATTTTACAGCACAGACACAGATTCACTTGCCGCATTTTACTCAGAAAATGCTTAACACAGTTAAAATGATTACTTGACACAAGCAAAGGCTTAGCTATCATTCTGCCTTGTGGTCAGCGGCATTGCTAGGCCACAGGTCATGCCTTGTATTCAGCTGCAAAGCTAATACTTCTTAATAATCCAAATTATTGTTAACTTAACAGTATGCTATCAGAACACTATTCTATTTCAGGGTAAAAATAAACACGCTCACTACACTATGACCAAGCCCACACCACTCAGCTGGCCCAGGGGCCACACGTTTGATACACCTGATATAAGACATTTGAAATAACGGTAAGAAATCCAGACAAACCATTGTATTTGCTTGTTGTCTGACTTAGCTGAATGTCATCTACACTGCAACACAGGAGTCTCAGCTTAGCAAGAGACTGAAAGCAGTAGGGCTGTGCACAGCTTCCGACAGAGCTCTGGATCCGGAGAAGCTTCGGACGCTTCGGGGTGGGAAGCAGCACGTCTGGGTCGGAGCGCCGCCTCGTTCGGCTTCCCGAAGCGCTTCGGAACCGCCTTGGAGATCCGGCCATAGGGCATAATGGGGAATCAATAAAATATCTATAACTTTGTTTTTTGTCCGATTTGGATAAATTTTCAGTGATGGTAGACTCTGCAGAGAGAATGAAGACCGCCAAGTTTCAAGAAGATCAGTAAGGAGTTTGGGGGAAACGGCACCCCAAATTCTTGAAAGCAAAAATCCTGGCATATCTATGTGTTACAGCACAGGACAGGTGAAAACTGCAGACGTGGTAGCTCTTGCTTGAGGCCACAAAGCCTGCCAAGTTTCAAGAAGATCGGGGCAGGGGTTTGGGGGGAACTGCCCCTCAAGCTGCTGACAGACAAAACTGGTGCCATGGGTGCTGTGGGACTGACTGTGTCTGTCTTGGGGTGGGAGGGGAGACACTGCTGCAGGCCTGGCTGCTGAGCTGCTGTGTTACCAGTTACCAATCACTCAATCATGATTCACTCAGGGACCAGGGACCAGGGACTCAGGGACCAGCTCAATACACAGGACCTAGCTACTACATAACAACTTAATGAGCAGCAATTAGCACCTACAAAACCAGGCTAAGGAGCGGAAAGATTCAGTACAGACAATCCAGTGCCCCAAGACAGACACAGTCTTGGCACGAGTTTTACCTGCCAGCGCTCGGGGTGCAGGGCCCCAAAACCCCCCTGCACCGATCTCCTCCACAGCTGACAGGCGTCACAGCCAGGGTCACCATCCCTGCAGCTGTCACCCCGCTGCGCCTTAGCACACAGTGTCACCCATGGCACAAGTTTTGCTTGTCCGCAGCTTGAGGTGCAGTCCCCCCAAACCCCTGCACCGATCTTTTTGAAACTTGATAGGTTTCATGCACTTAGCAGAGGCTACCATTCTGCAAGTTTAATCCAAATCGGACAAAAAACCCCAAAGTTATAGATATTTCATTGATTCCTCATTATATCCTATGGCCAGATCTCC